GCTGCCAGGGTTTGGAAAAAAACGCTACACTTACCTACAAAACGCACCACCTGTTTGAAATTGCAAAAATACAACCATATAAACCAAGATTTTTTTTTTAACAACAACAACAACGAAAAGCAATGAAAAACAGAAAAGGGCATTTTCAGACTTGGGGAGATAGCGTGTTTGAACATGCGCAAAGTGCTATCCTGGTACCCGACCAATACTTACAGAGTTATCTCTGGACAGCACAAGATAAGTTTAATAAATGAACCAACAGATAAAAATATAGAAATTTGGACTAGTCTCTCCACACACACCCCAAAAACACAGTCATGACATCATGATATGATCCAACTCAGCTGGTTTTGTGAATTCTCCACCCTCCTCTGAGCCAGAGAATTAATTATTAATTAATGGGTGTTATTTTGGCTGCCTTACTCACTCAATATGCTGACTTGACCCCCAAGTCCTGTCTTCTATTTAGCTAAGTCCTTCCTACCGTCTTTTATAGGAGCCCCCAAATGGGAGAAATTCCCAAGTGGGCAGACGCGCAGCTGATCTTTAGACCCCAAAACTGGCATGTGGGGGATGGATGAAGATCACCTGCAAGCAAGTTTAGTGAGAGGGGAGGGGTCCGAAACCCCAAATAGTGGCGGAGTGGCCTTACGTGGAAGGGGTCTTGCGCAGACCCTGTAGGCCAACTTCTGCCTGGGTTACGAGGTCTTAATGGCACAGGCGCCATTCTTATTTTGATTATCGATATTTATAATAATATTTATAACTCTGGCTGAAATGAGAGGTCCTTGGTGCTCTCTGAGATTGGTGGTTTTCTTGCAGATGTTTTATTACCTAACTAGGCAACATCATCAGCGCTAGCAGAAAGTGGGGTTTGCAGTAAGCATCTTGAACCAGCAGATAACTGCTAGGAGTCAGCCTGGATCTGTCAGGAATAAATCTTGCCAGATTAACTGCCTCATTCCTTAATGAGAGGATTTCCTTAATAGATTGTGGAGATGCTCTCATTGCCCCGTAACTCCATCTCAATGAAGCCTCTGACAAAATGCCTCCAGGCCTGCTGGGGGTCAGAGGGCGAAGGGCTCCGAGTTTAATTGATATACAACCCGGCACAAACATCATAATAAATCAACTCCACTCAGGATCCCTTGCCAGGTTTTGTCCTGGACCTTTTGGCTCCCTCCAGTGAAAGGAGCAGCTCAGCCATTAAGAAAGGAAGCAACCAGCCAAGGGGGGGGGGGGGGGGGGGGGGGGGGGGCGGGGGGGCAGACTTGCGAGGGGCCTTAGTGGGTCCCCAGCCTCATGTGCCGCACCTCACCTGCCAGCCATTTCCCCCCTTTTTATATAGGGGGACAATTATGATAGGTCCTCGGTCCTTAGGGGTTCGGCCATAGGTGAGGGTTAGTGTCAGGATGTGTGTGTGTGTGTGTGTGTGTGTGTGTGTGTGTGTGTGTGTGTGTTAGTTAACTGGCCATGTATCTCCACTGCTGTGTATACTCTGGGTGGTTTTTTCATTTTTTTAAAAAGTGTTTTTACTGTTTTAATTGTATAGACTCCAAAATTAATTGTAAGACTCCAAAAGTCATTGACTGAAAAGGAGAGGGAAGGGAAGGAAGGGGGAGAGGAAGGGAAGGAAGGGGGAGAGGGAGAGAGGGGAGGGGAGGAAGGAAGGAGAGGGGAGAGGGAAGGAAAGAAGGAAGGAAGGAGAGAGAAGGGAAGGGAAGGGAAGAGATGGAAGGGGGAGAGGAAAGGAGGAGAGGGAGGAAGGAGAGGGGAGAGGGAGAGGGAAGGAAAGAAGGAAGGAGAGAGAAGGGAAGGGAAGAGATGGAAGGGGGAGAGGAAAGGAGGAGAGGGAGAGGGCAGAGGATAACATTAGCCCAAATTCCTTGGTGCCTGTGGAACTGAAGTGGGGGTGGGGGGGGCTGAGGGGGGGGGGCGAGGAGATGGACAGAAGAAGCCTCCAGGGGGCGTCCTCCTTTGGAAACGAGCGGCACCTGCCCCATAACCACCCTCTGAAGGAAGGGCCCTCCCAGAAGGCCTGGGCTGTCATTCAGCCAGACGGAAAGCGGTGACAGACGAGCTGCCAGACAGAGCATTGAGCTACTCACAGAGCGGCGGGGGGGGGGGGGGGGGGGGGGGGGGGGGACCCCCCGGGGGGGCGGGGGGGGCACTTTTTCGGGGCAGGGGGGGGGGGCTGTGAACCCCAGGAAAGTCCTCCACGTAAATGGAACAGAAAGAGGGGGCCCAGGTGGAGGATCTCTCCTTCTTCAGAGGGCGTCCCGAGGCCCTCAGCGCTTGGGTGGAAGGGCTGACAACTTCCTTCTCCCACGTGCCCGGTTGCCAAGCAGTGGGTGCGGCTGCTGCCCCCCAGAGGCCCAGGAGGACGATGCCGTGGGCCCTGGGGCCTCCCTGCTGCTGGGCAGCAGGCAGAAAACAGCAACAGGCAGGTAGACTGCTCCGTGCCGGCACGCGGAGGAGAGACCCGGGTGCAACCAAGCATCGTAGGTCAGCTGGTGGCTGAATTAAGCCACTTCTGGGCTCCTCCACGGAGCCATGGACTAAGGAGCCAGTGACAGTGGCTGGACACGCTTGACCGGAAGGAAACACAAGATGACACGGAGGGGCTGGGCAGGTACCCGGGTGCCTTTGATCTCCATCGAGGGCCTCCAGAGGACGCTGATCGAGGGGGAGCGTGGTGTGGGAATGGTCCCCTAGAGTGGGGGTGTCCAACCTAGGCCACTTTAAGTTTCGTGGACTTTAAAGGGACCGAAAGACTTCAACTCCCAGAATTCCCTAGCCAGCACGTCCTCAAGCCTTAAACTGGCCCGGGCTGAGAAACACTGAGCTGGGGAATTCTGGGAGTTGAAGTCCTCAAAGTCTTAAAGGGGCCCAGGTTGGACACCCCCGCGCTAGACAATGGCATGAAAGGAGGAAGCGCCCTGCATGGACACAGCCAGTGCCCAGTTGTGGGGTTGACAGGAGTAACTCACAATGGCCGCCTTCTTTCTACAGACACCAAAAAAAAAACCCCAAAACCCTCCAATCTCCAGATCTAAGATTTATAGCAAAATGCTGACTTTTCTCCCTCTCTCCACACCTTCTCTTTCCCAACGGCCTCTGCTGGGAGTGATGGGACCTGAAGTCCAAAATATCCAGAATGCGACCTGCTGGGCAAGCAAAATCCACCCCAGCTGTCTTTGGGGGCTCAGGTGTGTACAAACCCATGACCAAAACGTACCCATTGCTCACCCAACAAGCCATTAGCAGACTTACATTAAATAGGTTGGGACAACTGAGCCAAGGATTCCAAGGCATTCTCGGCTTACGACCACAACGGAGGCCAAACTTTCTATGGCTAAATGGGACAGTTGTTAAGAGAGTTTGGGCCCATTTTATGACCTGGCTTGCAACAACTGATAAGTGAATCACTTCAGCTGTTAAGTTAGTCACATGGTTGTAGCGTGAATTTGGGAGGGGTTAAGAGAGGTCCGAGCTTGGAATCCTTGCAGTGCAGAAAGAGGCACAAGGCCTGGCCTCCCCAAGACTCCTTGAACCCGTGTCTGACCATTCCCAAGGGGAGGCAGTCAGCCATATGAGATGCCTGTAACCTGGGTGACCATCGATATAGCTTCTCTTGAGATTCTTCGTGAGGGGTTCTGGTTGGTGGTCCCTGATATTAATCAATGCAAGCAGTCTAATCCCTATTAAGTCTAGTCTAATCCCTATACTCCTGCGTAGTTGGAGGTCCCCTTCCTTCCTTCCTTCCTTCCTTCCTTCCTTCCTTCCTTCCTTCCTTCCTTCCTTCCTTCCTTCCCTTTCCTTCCTTCCTTTGTTCCTTTGTTCCTTCCTTCCTTTGTTCCTTCCTTCCTTCCTTCCTTCCTTCCCTTTCCTTCCTTCCTTTGTTCCTTTGTTCCTTCCTTCCTTTGTTCCTTCCTTCCTTTGTTCCTTCCTTCGTTCCTTCCTTCCTGAATGTGGTTGTTTCTTTGCAGATGTTTCCTGACCCAACTAGGTAACATCATCAATGCTAGAAGAGAGGGAGGGTTGTTCTATGTTTAGATACAGTAGCTACAGTAAATAACAGCACAATGCCAGAACTACCAAGAAGAGAACAACACTCGCAACAACACTGACAGGGCAAGCCATGATAAATAAACAGGGAGCCAACCTCACTACGTTCTAGAACTGAAGATGTTAACTAGTTGGGTCAAGAAATGTCTGCCATAAAACAGTCAAGTTCAGACAGCCCCAAGGATCCCACAGTCTTTCTTTCTTTCTTTCTTTCTTTCTTTCTTTCTTTCTTTCTTTCTTTCTTTCTTTCTTTCTTTCTTTCTTTCTTTTTCTTTCCCTCTTTCTTCCCTCCCTCCCTCATTCCTTCCTTCCACCCTTGTTTTCTTCTTTCCTTTGTTACTTCTGTCCTCCTTTCCTCCCTTCCTGTGATGTAATCTCTAGAGAGGCTGGAGCGGGGGTGTTAAGAGAGGTCTGAGCTTGGAATCCTTGCAGCGGAGAAAGCGCCACGAGGCCTGGCCTCCCCCAGAATCCTTGAACCCGTGTCAGACCATTCCCAAGGGGATGCAGTCTGTCTGGCGAGATTCTTGTAACGAGGATGACTAGCAATCCAGCTTCTTCTGTGAGAGGCTCTTCCTGAGGAGTTCTGGTTACTTCCTCTTGACAAGAAGGCGGGCAGCACCGGACATCTGATAATGGCCGGTTGGGGAAAGCTGGTCTGGCCTCTTGACCCTTCCGGAGAGAAGCCCCATCAGTCTCCAACCAGTTCGCCACCGGATGTCTAAGATCCACATTGCGAATGGAGAGGAGCTCTGGTTTAAAAGAAGGGTCAAAGAGGTCACCTACGTTAAAATCGGGCAGCCCCGCTCTCAACCGAGGGGGAGGGATACACTGTCATCTCTGGCTTGGGTGACCCTGAGGGCACAGATAAGCCTCCAAGTGGCCTCAATGACTCTCAGAGGGAGCTAATGACCAGAGGATCGCAAGGAATATAGATCCTTCCATACTCCACCCTTCAGTCAGAAGCGAAGAAGCTTCTCGGATGGGAAGAGAAACGTCTTCAAGGGAAAAAACAAGAAAGTCCAGTTGCCTTTTGCAAAAAACACCTTTGGGGTTCGCACTGGATGTCCCAGCAGGCCAGGAGGGACCTCAAGCACCAAAATTTCACCTCAAGACCCCCAAACTGCTGTCCTGGCCAACTGCTTTAACTGTATCAGTCCCTGGAGGCAGTTTTTTTCTTGCTGGACACCTGCCGGCTTCCTCTTAGTGTTAGGTTTATTCTCGGGGAACAGATTAGGGATCACCTGAAATAATTCTCATTAGGGTCTCTGAGACATCTCGGAATTCCTCTGTTTGTTTTTGCTTGAATCCTGATTATCTGTTTGTTTTCTCGTTGATCTCTGGAAATCCTCTCAAACGGAGGTTAATCTTTCAGCACCTTGAACCAGCAGATAACCGCCAGGAGTCAGCCTGGATCTGTCAGGAATAAATCTTGCCAGATTAACCGCCTCATTCCTTAATGAGATGATTTCCTTAATAGATTGTGGAGATGCTCTCATTGCCCCGTAACTCCATCTCAATGAAGCCTCTGACAAAATGCCTCCAGGCCTGCTGGGGGTCAGAGGGCGAAGGGCTCCGAGTTTAATTGATATACAACCCGGCACAAACATCATAATAAATCAACTGGGCAGCCAGAAGGCTCCGCTCAGGATCCCTTGCCAGGTTTTGAGACAGCGGGACAAAGAGAGGAGGGGGAGAGAACAGCTACCAAGCATGTGGGGGGTGGACATTTGAGCCCAAAGATGTCGAGACTCTGGAAAGGGCGCAAGAAGAGCAGGCAAAATGATTAGGGGACTGGAGGCTCTAAAACTTAGGAGGAAGAGTGGTTGCAGGAAGGGGGCATGTTCAATCAAAAGAAAAGAAGGGCTAGCGGTGACATGACAGCAGTCTTCCAACGGAGGAGGAGGAGGAGGAGGAGGAGGAGGAACATCAGTGCTAGAAAGACTAATGAAGGATGCCTGGTTGGGAATTTTGAGAGTTGAATGCCACAGGTCTTAACATTGGCAAGTTTTGCCCCCCCCTGCTCTGGACAGTCAGGTGGTATTTTTTTTAGGAATTGATTCATTCATTGGCTGCCTGATGAGGTAACATCAAGTCAGTGTCAACTCATGGCAACCACCTGTCACTTTGGGCTTTCTCAAAGAGTTTCTGAATTGGTTGGGTTCCTTGCTGGGAACCTTGGCGCCCCCTTAGAGATAAAAGGCAAATGACTTCTGCACCCTTGAAGGGAAAAACGCCATGGGGTGGTGTAGCCTCCAGGGGAAAGGCTGCCCAAGTGCTCTCAGAAACGGCTTCCAACTTTCGCGCCTGGGAGGACTCAGGTGTTCAGGTGAGGCTTGTCTGTTGGCTCCTGTCTTCTCTGGCTTCCTTCTGCACTAACCTCCTTTCTCCAACGGGATCCTTTTAAGACGGGTGGCCTTCAACTTCCACAATTCCTCAGCCAGCGATGTCCTCTTAAGCTACATCAACAGAGGGACAGAATCCAGACCATACAAAGTGATAGTACTGCTTTACAAAGCCTTGGTAAGACGACACTTGGAATACTGTGTCCAGTTCTGGTCACTAGGATACGATGGGACCTTAGAAAGACTACGGAAAAGAGGAACAAGCAGGATGAGGGGACGGGAGGCTAAAATATGCGATGAACGGTTGCAGGGACCGGGAATGTCGAGTGCAGGGGGGTCAAACTCAAGGCCTGCAGGCCAGATCCTGCCTGCGTGGTGCTTAGATCTGGCCTGCAGGGCCACCCTGAAAAACGGCCCACGGTGCCTCTGCCGGTGAGAAAGGAGTTCGGGCAGCCCTCGCAGGCCCTGCTTTCGGCTGCACCCGCCTCCTGCAGCCCTCAGGCAGCAAAAACAGGGCCCGGGGGGGCGGGGGGGGGGGGGATGCCTGCCCTGCCATGCTGTCTTTTCTCTGGCAGAGGGCTAGCCAAACAAACTAAAGACAAAAGTGAAAGGAGAAAAAGAAAAGGGAGGGAGGGAGGGAGGGAGGGAGG